TAAATAATGCTGCAATAAACATAGTTGTGCTGGTAGCTTTAGTATGGCTTTGTTTGTGATCATTTGGGTAAATGCCCAAAAGTGGGATTGCTGGGTCATAGGGGAGCTCTATGTGGAGTCTTTTGAGGAACCTCCATACTGCTTTCCAAAGTGGTTGAACAAGTTTATACTCCCACCAACAATGCAGTAGGGTTCCCTTCTGGCCACATCCCCTCCAGCATCTGTTGTTATTAGAGTTCTTGATTATAGCCATTCTAACTGGAGTGAGGTGGAATCTCAATACTTTGATTTGCATTTCTCTTATGGTTCTATTGGCCATTCTTATTTCCTCCTAAGAGAAGTGTCCTTTTAAGTCTTTAGCCCACTTATTAATCTGGCACTTGTTTCTTTGAGGATTTGTTGTATGTGTGCTGGCTAAAACACCCACAATAATGCTTATATGTAATTTAAGAAATATTTGGGTAATTATATTTCATGTGTTGTTTAAACAATCTGATTCATAACCTATCTTAAACTACAGCTAAATCTCCATTTATTCCTAACAATAACAATGAAATTACCATCTTTAAAAAATGATGACATGTTAAAAAAAAGCCTGATGAAATTGTATTGTAAGCAGTTTTCTCAAGGACTTTCTACTGACTGAGACAAATAGCTTTCAAATGCTCCAGATGGGAGAGTAAAAAATACTTTTTAACTCTCTGAAAGACCTTTAAAATTTAATGACAATTTTCCTTCTTTGGAAATCATATAACTCTTCTCTCTGCATTAGCACTAACTTTCTAGTCAATATTTATCTGAGTAGCTATTTCAATTTTGTGAATACAAACACTTTTACCTTTGAGAATTGCTGCAACATCCCTGTTATTAACATATGGGAGGGGATATTTTCCCATATACAGAGTTATCTATTTTGCTTAATGATAAAAAAATTGTTACCTAGACAAAGAACAGAAAATGATTTGTTTCCAGCGAAGTTCAAAGTTGTGTCAAAAATAGGACAATTTGAGCTCCAGTTTCATCCAATTTTTTACAAATGACATGATTTCATGGTTCCATTATTCTTTATGAGTGAATAATATTGCATTGTGCATGTGTGTGTATATAATTTTGTTTTCTTTTTTGACATATTGGTTGTTCAGAAGTGTGTTCAGTTTCCACATAATCGTGAATTTTCCTAAATTCTTCCTATTAATTTTGTTTTCATATTGGTCTGGTTGGAAAGGATACTTGAGACAATTTCAATGTTTTTAAATTTGTTATCTTATTTTATGGTCATCATAGTGCTTATCCCAAAGAACAGTCCTATGTGTCTTTGAGAAGGATGCATATTCTGCTGCAGTTAGATGAAGTGTTCTGTATCTATATTAAGTCCATTGGATAAAAAGTGTAGTTCAAGTTCAGTGATTCCCTTTCCAGTCTGGATGATGAATATCTTGTTGAAAGCAGAGTTTCAAAGTCTCCTACTATTACTATATTGTTATTTTCCCTTCAGATATTTTTAATATTTCCATTAAATATTCCAAGTTCCTAGTGTTTGCCTCATTTACATATTTACAATGGTTTGATCCACATTTTAATTGACCCTTTTATCATTATACAATGATGGGACAGTTTGCCCCTTATGACATTTTTTGTATTAAAATTTATTTTTTCTCATCTCTGAAGGACAACTCTGGTAATTGAAGTGTCTACTATTGACAAAATTGGTATTTTTTTTTCTTTAGCATTTCAAACATGTCTCAGTGTCTCCTGGTCTGCCTGGTTGCAACAAAGAAGTACACAGATAACCTATTGGAATTTAGTTTGTGAGGATAAGGTTTTTTCCTATTACTTTAAAAAATATGCGTTTTTTTCTATATTTTTGATAATTGACTATAAACTGTGTCTTGGTGAAGTATTTTGAGTTGGCACTGTAGATCTTTGAGCTTCAGCTATCAACCCAAAGATTTGGAAGGTATTCAGCTATTTCTTTTTCTTATTGGACTTCTGGATTTTTTTTCTCTTTCTCTTTTGCATCAAAACTAATGTACAGGCTGGGCACCGGTGGCTCAAGCCTGTAATAGCTACTCAGGAGGCAGAGATCTGAGGATCATGGTTCAAAGCCAAGCCCGGGCAGGAAAGTCTGTGAGACTCTTATCTCCAATAAACCACTATGTAACCAGAAGTGGCACTGTGGCTCAAGCGGTAGAGCGCTTGCCTTGAGCTGTAGAGCACAGGGACAGCACCCAGGCCCAGAGTTCAAGCTCCACAACAGACAGAAAAAAAAAAACTAATATACAAAATTTAGGTTTCTTTGTGCTTTCATTTGGCTTTTCAGTATTTTTATGTTTTTTTTTCTCCTCTCACTAGATCATTTCCAACTTCATTTGTAATACTTATTGTTCTGTTCGATCTAGTCTTCCACTGACATTGTCAATTATATTCTTAAATTTAATAATTATGTCTCTTGTCTCTAATATTTCTACTTGGTTCTTTTACATATTTCTCTTCTTGCTTGGTTCTTGTAGTATTCTCAGTTCCCTGGACTTGGTTATGAATGTTCTATTTTAGTTCACCAATTATTCAATTATTTAGAATTATTTATGAAACAATTCTCAAATCTCCAATTTTGGAGGGGATCATTCCTTGTTACTATTGTGTTTCCCTGAGTCTCCATAACACTTATAGTCTTAACAAAAATGTCCATTTATAAATTGTCTCTGGTTTAAAATAATACATTCAATTTGGTGACAGAGTGTGCAAGCATGCTACAGCATGAATGTAGCAGTTTAGGATGTTAAATAGGGGGCAAATGGTTACTTGAGGCCTGAAGGAAATAATGTCTCAAACAAAGGAGGAGGCAACAGTGCTCAATAGGAAATGTATTCATTACCTTGCTCATGTAACTATAACCCTTCTGTACAGCATTTTTGCAATAAAAAACATACAAAAAAGAGGTGAAAGAGTTGAAATCTATATCAGTAACTATATGATGCCTGCAAAAAAGAGATGTAAAGGACCTAGATATCTCTCATGGCTCTTGGAGTCCTTAGTGATGCCTCTGGGCTCAGGGTAAGGGATCAGGACAGTCATCAGTGGAAGCTAGATCTGGCAGTATTGCCAGTTAGGTGAAGAAAATAGCTACATGTGGCAGAGTTGAGTCTCTTGGCTTGTGTATGGTGGTAAAGTCTGGAGTTAGAGACTGAGGTAGGGCTACCTATAGGCACCCATGTGGAAATTAAGCTTGCAGTGTGTTCTTGAACAATTTCAGGTATCAGCTGTGGAATGAAGTCCAGCCAATTATATAGGTATGGCTAGCAATAGGCCTAAGCTGGAGGTTTGCAGCTGAAGGTGTAAAGGTCAAGCTGTGTGTTCAAGTACAGTGGTAGAGAAAGCCATCAGGAGCCTGAGCCAGCTACTCAGGCATATGTAACTGCAGTATTTGTGGCCAGCAGTATGCACCAGCCTTACTTCAATGGTCATCTCCTCATGCGCTGTTGTGGAAGCTAGCGTCTACAGCAGGGAGCTTGGGGACACTGGAAAGCAAATCTGAGGTAGTTGTGTTTGGTTCTGGGGTAGAATATCCCCAGCAGCAGAGCAGCCACAGACAGAGGAAGATAGTGTCTCAGGCCCCTGGCAACCATGAAGGCAAAAGTTTGAATCGACTTCAGTGGTGAAAGCTATAAGGAACTGTGGCAATTGTGTTTATTTTATGCTTCTTCAACAGGAAAAGCTGTCAGAGTCCTTTGGAAAGCAATTAACAGCGTCATCAGTGGCAAACACTGTAGGTTCTATGAGCATGATAGTTGTGAGGGATGTGTAGCAACTAAAAGGATCTTTTGAAGTCAGATGGAGTCCTCTTCAGAATAGAATACAAGACCATGGTCATTCCTTGTTACATGGCTGTTTTGATAGTTCCCATCTTCATATTTAGGACTGTCTTAGTTATAACTACGATGCTTGTCTCTCCACTGTCCAAGGAAGACTAAATTTGAACCTACTGTCCAAGACAGTGACCCTATAATCAAAGGGGCTGCTTAGTCAGCCTATTCTCTTTGTTCCTGTTAGTAGATTTGCAAGCTAGGGAGTTCCCTCTCTTTACTGAAGGGTGTGTGCCTAGAGAATGGGGTGATGCTGACCAAAATTAAACTATGCACAGACCATGTTCTCACTATGTACTTATACTTCTAAAGTAGATCAATGAATTTCAAGCTGAAACGTTCTTGTATCATCTTCTACATACCACTGTTTAATCTGTTTCAGAAGCTGCACTTGACCTTGTAGAAACATCCTATGAGTCACTTTGGATTTCAAACTCCTCACAATATCTTATTGTACTGTCTCTTTTATTCTACATCTCTGCTTTCTTCTACTAAGGAATTCCTTAAATTCTCCATGCAAAATGTAAGCCTAGACATGGAGATGATCACTGAAATTTTAAATGTCACTTCAGTACAATTCAGATCTAGACAGATGATAGATACAGATTGATTGATTGATTGATTGATTGATTTGGACACACTGAGGTTTGGACTCAAGACAGGAACCATGCATCTGCAACTCCTTCTCAATAATCTTTAATATAAAGTGTTTTCATCTTATTAAATAAGTAGATAGCTAAAAGAGCATAAGCATATATTACATTGAAATAGCAGTAGAAACAGGAGGTTTTGTGATAGCTTTAGTAGCCAGATATTTTATATATGAAATTATTTACAATTGGGAATTTTTCATTTGGGACATTGACTTTTGACAGTTTTTATAAGGGCAATATTTCATCTTGGAACACTGTGACATGAGATGATTTTTAAAAACTCTTTAGGATTTAATTTGCTGTTGTAAGAACAGTGACATTTTAGTCATTTTAAAAATGCCTCCTCAATCTTATTATGTAAGTAGTCAAAAAATTTTAACTGTGGGTGTATTGAAGCAGGATGCATATTCTTATTCATGAAATTCTCTCAAATAAGATGACATAATAAATTTGACTGGTTGATATTCATGCTTTTTTCACCCAGATTCTTTGAACCATTTACCGCACACTTCCTGCCTGGCAGTGATCCGGAATTTTTCGTTAGACCTCAGACTGGAAAACTTCCTCCATTTTTTACCAATGGGCTTCTCATGGTTGTAGGCTTTAAACCTCGAATGTACAGTAAGAAATACAAAGCAACACTGGTAATACAGGTGAGTTCTAGAGGGATGTAACTCTTACTGTAGCATTAAGTGAACTAAGGAAAAAGGTTTCTCCCAATGAACACAGCTAAATAACAATATTGCCTCACCTTATTTTCTTTGTTTGTCTAGCAAATGAATTTAAATATAAACTACAAGAACAACATTAAGGAGTACTGAGTTTTTTCAATTCTACATTAAGGACATGTAAAATAGATAAATGATCTCTATAGATTATCTGAATAGTCACATGTAATTTTAAATAACATTCCAATTTCAAGGACAGAATGTTTAGATCATTCTAAATTTATGTAGACGTTAAGAATGCCTATATTGGAACAGACTTTGGTTTGGCCAAGTACTGAGTTCCTGAACTCAGGCTTGCTAGGTGGCAAATGCTGACCCACACGAGCCACCACCCCCCAAGCCCTAAGCAGGAAATTCTTTTTCTCTTTCTCCTATTTCTTATTTTTGCTATTCAATATAAAATAAAAAATAGATAAATTTCAAAGTTTTTGTTTCAAAGGATTTATTTTAGTGTACCGCAGTAAAAATATGGTACATGCAATCTTGAAAATTTGTCCCATTAAGGACATTGCATAAAATTTCACACATATTTCATAATAAGAAGGTTTAGGCTAAAGACAGTGTTCTATTTAATTTTGGAAAGATAACTATTGTTGCAGTTGCCTTTCAGTAGCATGGGCACAAAGAGCATATTGTCAACCTATGATTCTTGGTGTGAAAGTGATTTCTAGACTTTTAACTCAAACAATAATTAAGTGGTGCCATAAGCACAAAACTTCATTATTATTTTAGTAAGTAGAGAAAAAGTGTCTTGAATATTGTTTGGCAAAATGATTTCTATTTTCTATATCTAAGAGTCCATTGAATCTGGGAAATGTGATGATTAAACTTCTTTGGCCTTGCTGTACATTCCCCACTGCCTGCACTGATATTTGTCTACCCTAAAGTGATTAAATGACATCTTTGAAATCATTTTCAGTTAAAATGATGCCCATTTTGTCCAACACACAGAGGCTATCTCAGAAGTTATACATTTAGCCAGCTTTACCAACAAAATGTATGCCTAGATCCCTGTGTTGATTCGAAAGCTAAATTACTAGTGGCAAAATTGACCCTTTCGTGTGAAGTTTTATGGGATCAATTTATATTATTTTCACTTGGTTGGAAGTGGCTTGATTTGGTAATACATATACAAGGACAAAATTGACACTGGTACATGTTTAGCTGTTTAGCAAGTTATTTATGACCAGGCAGAGGCAGAACAATGTCGAGTTTGAGAAGATAGAAGCATAAAGATCTCAAGTGTGAGGACACCATGGCCTATATAGTGAGACCATGTCACCAACAACACAGAGAAAGTAAAAGAAAAATAAATCACAATTTACATGCAGAACTTTTCCATCAGAACAGTGAAACTACTTTTATGGAAATGTCCCTAGTCCCAGCACACAAATATATGATTGTTATAATGAAATCAATATTTTCAAAAACATTATTTCCATTGTATTTCATTTAGAATTAAAAATGATTTGTACAATTTAATGACTAAATATTGTACAAACTAGTCATGTTAGCAAATTTGTAGTTACTCATTCAATTAAATTATATTTAGAATGAATAAAAACTCTCCTTTCAAATCAGTTAACTTGTCCAGACTATTTTACAACAGTGCTGGCAAAACACCATATAATATCTGCTAAAATTTTCAAGGTGAGCATGATAAATCTTGGTTTATTAAAATATGAGATCAGGATTATCCAGCATCAAGCATAAGGTACTTTCTTTGTATTCATATAAAATTATATTTTTCTATAGAGTAACATGAGACATATCATATATATAATTTCATTTATATATAAATCCCCCAATATAACTAGAGGCATAACCACACATAGGCATTATATGTACATTGATTTTATATATTTTTTATTGTAAAGATACTGGACAGAGGGATTACAGTTACATGAGCAAGGTAATGAGTCTATTTCCTATCGAGCATTGTTACTGTACATTGATTTTAAAGAAATGTTTTTGTTAACATCAAACTAGGGGAAATGGTATTGTAAATATCTTGGTTTGCATTTTCTTAGAAGCTGATCTTCAAATAATAATTCAAATGTAAGTAGCCTAGTAGATATCAGATGATGTGAGGAAATAAATATAGGAAGGCCAGTGTATAAGATACAGAGGGGAAGGAAATCAATAGAATGCTTTATCAAGGCATCTGTCACAGTGAGCAACTGGACATTAATTCCATGAGAGATGACTGGGAAAGTGTGCAGAATGCACATCTCAGAATTTCACATCCAAGACAGCTGGGAAGCTGGGGGGTTTATATACCACTTGTCACAATTCTAATCATTGCCTGAAGAATTCACTCAGTGACTGTTCATCCTCTGGCACCAGCAGAGGAGCCTGCTGGGATTTTTGAGTCAAAGAGGTACAAACATTTACAATAGATTGAAAGTTGAAGCACATATTGAAATGGAAACACTTTAGGGATATGGATATCTCCTAGTGAATAATTATCATTTCTTTTCATTAGTAGAAACATATATTTGACAATATAACTTTGGTCTTTTCTGGGACCTGAACTCAGGGCCTGGGCACTGTCCCAGAGCCTCTGTGGTCAAGGCTACCACTTCTTCCACTTGAGCCACATTGCCACTTCTGGCTTTTTCTAAATTGGAGATAAGAGATAAGAGTCTCATGGACTTTTCTACCTGGGCTGGTTTTGAAACATGATCCTCATATCTCAGCCTCCCTAGTTGTTAGGATTACAATGTGAGCCACCAGCGCCAGGCAGTCTATCTCATTTGTTTTCCAAGCAGAGATACTACTTAAAAATAGGTATTTCATCTTTATGAAAAATAAAAGTTTTTCTTTTTACTTTTTGAATAAATGTTCAGAGAGTATAGTGATCAGTTTGACATTCTTTAGCAATAATCTATATAGAGTCTATGAAACCCTGTGACATGGGGCTATTAATTCTTATTTTGTTTCTGCTTTTTATTGCTATTTCTATTTACAAGGGTTGATTGGGGGTAGAAAACACAGAACTATATCTTTAAAATGCTTTTGTTACTACGTAAGTAATTTTTTATATTCACAGTTAGATTCAATTTTATCCGTAGGTAAAATCTGTTCTATATAATATTTATTTTATAAAATAAGCTTCTTTTATTATATTGCTTATTGGAAACAAGAGTGTGAATATGGTTTCTAAATTGTGTTTCTATATTCATACAGTCCACATCACTTTTATATATATATATATATATATATATATATATATATTATTGTAAAGAAGGGTTACAGTTATATGAGTAAGGTAATGAGTACATTTCCTATGGAATATTGTTACTTCTTCCTTTGTTTTTCCCCTACCATCCCATCCCTCCCCACCTCCTTTTCCCCCAAGTTGTAAAGTTTTTTTCAACATAGTGTCTTGTACATCTCATTGTTACAATGGGTCAACCTGTATCCTTATTTCAGCATTTTGTTATTTCCCTTCCCCTCCCCAAATTAGAAAAATGTATATACAAGATGTAAGGCACAGGAACCAAATACAGTAAAAACAGGAGTTATACTGTGGGGAAAGAACATACAAGAGAAACAAAAAATCACATAGCACATCAATAATAAAATTATTCAAATTTTCAGTAAAATTTATGAAATATAAGTGGGACTTTTAAGAATAATGTCTTGATGGGTGCTGGTGGTTCATGCCTGTATTCCTAGCCACTCAGGATGCTGAGATCTGAGGATCATGGTTCAAAGCCAGCCCAGGCAGGAAATCTTATCTTCAATAAATAACCAGAAAACCAGAAGAAGTGCTGTGGCTCAAGTGGTAGAGCACTAGCCTTGAGCTGAAGAGCTGAGGGACAGCTCCCAGGCTCACAGTTCAAGCAACATGACTGAATAAAAAAAGTAATAATAATGTCTTCATAGCTAATCATTTCCAATGGTACAGGTTCCTTCTTGTAGCTCCTATTTCTAGTGACTAATTACTGGATGTCAGCGTGGAATCCTTCATGGATGTAGCTCACTAGAATGAACTCACTAGATGAAAAGCATGAGTATGGACCTATCCATATAGCTAACATAGCAGTAGTAAGTGTTAAGCATAATGCATGTCTTTTCATTTGTTCATTTGTTCCCATAAAGTGGTTGTTTGTTCTGTAAAAAAAACTATATATGTCATATGTACAATCTCCAGTCTTTCTTTTTCATGCTTCAATTTAAATGTTTCTTAATTCAATTGTATCATGCTCCGTGATTTGGTCCATTTTGAATTACTGATTCTGAGTACATGATTCCTGCAAACAATAAAAGGATCAGATATAAGGCCATGCCAGATGTGAGGGAAATTCTTATATTTCATCAATATCAACTGATGGATATTGAATTATACATCAAGCCTGATGTACTGCAATATTCACTTGGCCTGCTACTTCCTCTGAATAATATTCTCAGCATACAGGATACACAAGTCTTAATGTGAGGAGAAAGTTTATATAAAAATGGGTAGCTTCAGGAAATTCTGCAGAAGCAATACTACTTAAGATATGAACATAAACATTCAGAAAATGCTAGACAGGATGCCTAGTTAAATATGATTTAGAAACTATGTCTAAGTCTTGTGCATACAAGCACAAGAAATGAAGACTTTTGTAATAAATCCTGATAAGTATTACTGACCAAGATTGATTGTTATCAGTGATCTTATGTCTCTCATAGTCCAAAGGTTAGGTACTTGAATAATCTATAAATCAGATCAACATACTTTACCAGTAATTTTTATGGCTGCACTTAAATTTGCATGTATAAATTTATCTTGAATTATATTGTTCCCATCAATTATAGCTCATTCTGGGCAATAGTCTCATGTCTACCAAATAGTGTACCATTATATCAGATGGATGCTTTATTCATCTACAAGGCAGTGATATTTCAGTGAATAATGATTCTTAGTTCATAAAACCAATCCAAGCACTTTCCTTACTTTACTTTCACATAAAGTGTAATTATAAATTCAGTTTTCATTTTGTAATTTTCCCATACCTTGTGTGACAAAAGGGTGCTACTTGTAATAATAATATTTGTTTAAATTTTTGTAAGTCTCTGAATGTTTCATATAAAATTCCCCCATTTTATTTCCAGACTGAAGATTCATACTGGCTATATGAAATAAATGGATTACCTCCAGAGCCCACACCACTGATTAACGTGAAACCCAAAATTGATACAACTAACGAGAAATACAACAACATGCCAGTTGTTCGGCGTAATTTTATCAGTGAAAATATGAAGCTTTTAAGGACAGGGCCATCTTCTACCATCAAAGGAGCGCCTTTGGTCACAAAGCATAAATAAAAAGTGTGTTCCAAATATGTTTTCAGCTTTTGAAATATTTGTGAGAAACAATGGTTTAATTACAGTAGGCCTTACATATTTTCTTGTCCTTTAAAAATGCTGACAATATTCTCTCACTATGTCGTAGGTCATATTTGAGACACACGTTTTAAAAATGGATTTGGGTTATTCATACTAGAATCATTTTATTTTTAAAATACAGATTATACGTTTGTAGGGAAACACAGACATGATTTTAATGACAGTATTTCAAACACTAGTGTTAGCACTTCAGTTCTTACAGTTCTTATGTAGGTGTTGCTTAATAGTCTCTATTTTTAATTGACCACTAAAATTATATGTAATTATGCTATGACTATATAAAATAAATGGATTACCTCCAAGCCCACAACACTGATACATTGACATGTTTTTAAATATGTATACATTGTAGAATAACTAACGAGCTAGTAAATATATGCATGTTTTCTTAGTGATTTTACTACCATATATTAATTGAACAAATTAAGGAATTTAATTATGGCATATATGCATATAATGTACTATAACTACATTCACCTCCTCTAGTCCTCTTTCATATATCCCTCTCCCCTTTCCCTTTCCAAATACCTAATAATCCCCTCCTTACTCCTATGACCTTCCCTCCACCCCTAGATTCTGCATATAAGAGAAAATGTAATATTTTTCCTTCTGAGTCTGGCTCATTCCACATAACATGATGATCTCCAGTTCTCCCCATTTACCTGCAAATACGATTATTTCTCTCCTCTTTTGGCTAGGTAGTACTCCATTGCACATATATAGCATTTTTCTTTATCCATTCATGGCTCAATAGGTATTTAGGCTGATTCTATCACTTGATTATTGTGAAGAGTACTTTAATAAACATGGGTTTGTAGACATCTCTGTTGTATGCTATCTTTGAGTTGTTAAGACATATACATAGGATACTATAGCTAGATCATAGGATAGTTTTATAAGGAACAACCATACTGAATTACATAGTAACTGGAATAATTTACAGTGCTATAACCAGTGTATAAGGAATTTTGATTTTGTTGTAGCCCCACAAAAAATAAAATACCTAGGAATTAACTTAACCAAAGAAGTGAAGTACCTCTATGATGTTCTTTTTTTTCTTGATAGCCATTTTGGCTGTGTTGAGAAGTTTCAATGTAGCTTTTTTATTGTGGCAGTCCTAGGGACTTGAATTCAGAGTCGTGGATCTGCTTAGCAAGTACCCCACCACATGAGCAATGCTCTCAGGCCCTCTTGGTTTTAGCTCGTTTTTAGATAGGATCTCACACTTTTGCCCAATGCTACCACTAACTGAACTCTTCCTTGGGTCCACCTCCCAAATTGCTTTTGTTACAAGAGTGAACCACCTTGCCTTGGGCTCAGTGTAGTTTGGGGTAAATTTCCTGTTGGCTAAGGACAATGAACATGTATCATTTGTGTATTAACTATTTATGCTACTTCTTTTAAGAGCTGTATGTTCAACTTAATTGCCAATTATTGACTGACCTTTATTTTTCTATACTGGTACCAGGATTTGAACTTCAAGCATTGTGTTTGCTCAGCTTGTTTGCTAGGTAGACACTCTTCCCTTTGAGCAAGGCTCGAGCCTGGATTTTTGCTAGTTATTTTTGGAGATACAGTTAGTATCTTAGCCTTTTTTTTACTTGAGCTGGCTTAAAGTGTGATCCTCCAGATTTCATTCTCCTTAGTAGCTTAAATTACAAGCATGAGAACCCATGCTCAGCTAAACTATTTTTGGAGGAACCATATTTTTTTTTATAATATTGAGATCTGACATTATGTTCTCAAATCTACTAGGTCTGATTTGTATTATCTGTTCCTCAGGTCTGATTTGTATTATCTGTTCCTCAGCACTTATATTTTTTCTCTGCTATTATCTGGTTCTCTATATTATGGAACAGAGATTCCAATAGGTAAGTGTATAAAGCTTAAGGGATCTTAACAGACCTTGAAAGAAACTTAATTGCTTCCATGTGTATTTTTCATCCTTTATTTGTTGTGAAGCAGGATTTCAGTGCTAGCTTCGGTTTAAATTTTAATTGGTCATTGATTTTATTTTTTATTTTGATATATTTATTTCTAATATTTAAATTTGATTAATTTTATATTCATTTTATATACATTTCTTATTTAATATTTTTGCTCATTTTTGATTGTTAGGCATTTATCACTTTAAATAGCCCAAGCACAATTATTATGTAATCTTGGTCAAACCGTGCCACAAAAATTTTTTAAGAAGTTTTTGATTGTGAAAATACTGTACAGAGGGGTTACAATTACATGAGCAAGATAATGAGTACATATCTTATCAAGCATTGTTGCCTCCTCCTCTGATTTTCCCCTACCATCCCTTCCCTCCCATCTCCACAACTACACTCCCTCCCTCCCCACCTCCCACCCCTGCCTAAATTGTAAAGTTCATTTTTCAACATAGCATCTTGTACATCTCATTGTTTCCCTATTCAAACAATTTGTTTTTTACCTTCCACTCCCCAAATTATACCAACATCACATACAGTGAAAACAGGGGCTATACTGTGGGGGAGGGACATACAAAGCAACAAAAAAATCACGTGGTACCTTATAAATACGTTAGAAACAATAGCAAAAAAGAAAAAAAAACACCTATGTCCTTATCTTGGGGTTCCTTTCGCTTAACATCATCTTATCTGACCTTTTCTGCTTGTCCCAGACATATACTAGTTATTGCAAATAAGGGAACCCATGGGACCTATGTTTCTTTGGTGTGCCACAAAATTTATAGCAAGTGATCCTTGTTCTGATATTTTCTTTATGAGTTCTGTTTCTTTTATTTTAAAATAAAAATTTTGTAATTGGAAACACTGTATATTGTACACAACCTGTTTTGTAATATGTGTACAGTATAGAGTGTCTAATTCTAGCTAATTAGCATATGTAATTTTTCACATAATTTTCTTTGTGGTGAAGCACTTGTGCTGGTTATATTACTTAGCTTTGGATTTCTTTACGCTTTTCAGAATTATAGATAAGAGGACTATTTATGGAGGACATAATATTTGTTTTGCATTGTTTTGTCTTAATTCTTTTGGCTCTTTCCTGTCAGATAGGGACAAGCAGTCATGAAGCTTCTACATAATCAAGGCTTTGGCCTCCTTTCTGGTAAGATGTGAAGGATTTATCAGACTGGTTAGTGAGCTCTGGGCAGCCCTGTCCCGAGGCTATGTCAGTATCCTCAGGCTTACATTGCCAGTCAACTCCATATACTTTGCAGCCTGAGGCAGTAGTTGTCAGTATTTTTCCCCTTCTAAGAATTCTGGCGCCTGAGATTTAGTAGTGAGGCCAACTCCACTAACCCATTTCACAAAGAAGACCTGTAGTTATTTTTACCCCTTAGAGGAGAAGCTCCACTTTCCATTACCAGCTTTTGATTAGCCAGGCTAACTACTAGAGATCAGGTTTTGGTTTGTATCTAATGAAGGAAAATGTTTATCTTGTCAAAGTTTCTGATATTCTTTATTTTTATATTGTTTCCATCTTTGATAAATTTGGAGAGCAGAAGATAGATCCATTGAATTCGAAACATATTATGCTGCTCTATAAACGTTCTATTAGAGATTTGACATGGAATTTCATAAATGAAATGCTATCACTTTCAAGTGGAAATGCTTATGAAATTTCCAGAGACTTAAATATATAGGTTATACTAATTAACTAAATTCATTTTAGGTCTGTTTTAGGAGATACTTAAAAATTTAAAGAGGTAATACTCTGCAATTAAATCAGCTAAAGACATTGAAACAGGTTCATCCTTATCAGTTATAACCCAAAAGAGCCTTATTCTCTGTATATTAGGTCTGGTTAAGTAATTTTTATGTCCTTTCTGCCAGAATAAACAAATTCTCATTAAAAACCTGATTGTTGGATCTCTTATCTTTGCTTATAAATTAACATGTGCATGATTGGAAGTCTAAAATACTGTTTATAAGCCTGAAAATGTTTTTATAGAGCATTAAGCTGAAGGTATTTATATAAGAACCTATACAATCTCTTCAAATATTGAAGACAAGTTATTTATCCATCTATCCATTCATCCATGCATCTGTCCATCTATATATCTGTAAGGCACCATTTTTTTCCTTTATGAGAAGCATTCAATCTAAGTCCCTTTGGTCTCCAGTTCATTGGTATTAAGTACATTCACATTGTTATACAACCACCGCAATTATCTCTCTCCAAAACTTCAAGTTTTTTCAAGCTGAAACTGAACCCAGCAAGCAATAACTCTTCCATTTTCCTTTGACATATACACAACCCCTGGAAAATACCATTCTAATTTCTTTTGTTTTTGTAGAATCATGACATATTGTTTTGGCATACTCATCTTACTTGTACTCTACTTTGTATGTTTGCAAATGTGAGTATTCTAAATATATTAGTAGAAACAAACTACTTGTTATTTTGTGACTAGCTCATTTGACTTAGTATGTTTTCAAGGTTCATCCATATTGAAACATGTATCAGTGTATCTTTCCTCATTTTGCTTCCATTCATCCATCCATAAACACTTTTTATGAAAATGGTTTATGAATACTTGTTTGATATTTTTCTTTCAATAATTTTGGGTGAAACTAAATATGATATAATAATTCTATTTATAACTTTTTGAGGAAATGTCATACTGATCTTCATAGCTCCTAACCATTTTACTTTAGTGCCAGCAATGCATAAGATGACATATCCTTGCCATCTAAGTAATCTTTAGTGGAGATTAACGGTATTTTCCACAAGGAATTTAGGATTGCACATTCTTATTTTTTTAATAAACTTTTTATGTTTATATGCCATTTCAAAACTTAAAAAAAGATTCCATATTCCCTTTACCCAGTTAACACATCTTCAAAATTATAGTATGATATTACAAGAAATATATTAATATTGATGTAGTCAAGGTATACAAGCCAGGGCTGGGAAGCTGGCTT